GTTATTATCAGGAGAAGGTTCTTATCAAAGAAAATACTAGAAAAGTAAATGGGAATAGCGGTAATTATCATCCCTTTCGACGCCTTAGCCGTTCGCTTGCAAAACAAATGACTGACACCAGGGTAGTCGGGTACCCGTGCAAAGCAGGGGCGGTCTGCTAGTATCTTAATAAAGTAAACAGTGTCACTTAACTAATATCACTGGAAGGCCAAGAAGGTCAAGAACGGCATTCATCGTTTACGCTATCGCACTAACCCACCTCCTGTGGCGTGTTAAGATATCTGTGAGTATCCGTATCAACTACTAATAGATTTATATTAATAGCTTTAATGACATTAGTAACAAATACGTTATACTATACCTAGTTTTTTTAATCTCACGCACTAATCTTTAACAGTGTACCTTTACGTGGCGCTTGAATTCAAAGTGCAAATCATAAAAACTACTGAACTGGATGGGACAATTAGGTTACGTTTAAGTTGCCATAAAAAGTAAACCTAAGACTGTAAAAACTGATCGACTAAAGAATATTTAGAAAAGTATTAAATTTTTAAACCTTGATAGATTATATGACCTTGGTAAATGTCTCCACTATTTAATGGACGTTATTATAAATATAAACCTTCTTCTTCAACCTCTATTTAATAAAAAAACCGTTGCGTAGTATTCAAAGATTTAAGCATACATAGGGATATGGTGACAAAGAAAGCGACTTTGTTTAATACTATGTAGTGATGTGTAATCAAGTTCTATTGAAATCGCTTCAGCAATTCCATGAATTTTCACTTATAATTCATACGAAAACAGTTATTATGAGATAGCATGGACAATGGACTGATTCACGGAGACGCGCGTTACGCGACGTGTTGTGGGTTCGTTACACATTGAACTATTGAGCCACGTCACCAGCGCATACGCAAACTTATGGAGCAATGTACGATAAACGCACGACGCGCCACGTCACCATAGATGACAACTTCAAGAATTATGTTTTTAGATTAATTATTTGAGTTGACTAACGAACAAGTTCATATAAGCTATAGGAAAAATATAAATACTAGACTGGACAGCCGGATATTATGCTACTCCTCAACCTTGGGTAGGTACTGGGCATGCAGCAACCAACCCGGGTAATTAAGATTTTTTAGTATGTAGTGGATTTAGTTAGATATCTGGGGATTCCTAAAATACCAAACCATTTCTTTTTCCTATTCACTTACTTATGAAAGTAATACGGCCCTTAGGTACCAACAAACCAAATCCAATATTTTTTTGAAATATCAATTTTTTAAAAACGAATTATCCGGTAAAAATCTAAAGATATTGTAACTAGTCTCTGAAAAGTATGATTATAATTTAATTAACTTACATTGTATTGCAAATCCAACATAAGTTTTTTGACCAAGGAGACTACATACTACTCTGTCAAGAAAGTACCGGGAAAAAGTCAATAATACACAAAATGTTTGTTATTCATTTTATCACCTTCAAAGTATGCTCCTTCAGAAACGATACACTTACGCCAACGAATAATCCAATCATCGAAACTTTTTTTAAACGCTGTTTCCGGAATTGAGTTCAGTGCTCGCCGCGAATTCTCCTTTATGTCTTCTAACGATTGAAAACGGGTGCCACGAAGGGGTAATTTGAGTGTGGGAAAAAGAAAGAAGTCGGCTGGAGTCATATCTGGTGAATATGGTGGCTGCTCGATGGTGTTTGTTGAGTGTTTGGACAAAACATCGTTTACAATGATGGCCTTGTGCGAAGGCGCATTATCGTGATGCAAAATCCAAGAATTTTCTTTCCACATATCTGGCCTTTTTCGTCGAATTTGTTCTCTTAAACGCCGCATAACGCTCAAATAATATTCTTTATTTACCGTTTGACCTTCGGGCAAGAATTCTGAGTGCACAACACCGCGATAGTCAAAGACAACAGTCAACATGACTTTGACTTTTGATCGACTCTGCCGTGTTTTTTTCGGTTTTGGTTCAGTTGGAAGGCGCTATTCCCAAGCTTGTTGACTAGTTTGCATGTCAAACTCGTAAACCCACGTCTCGTCACCAGTAACAATGCGTTTCATGAATGTTGGGTCGGTATTGACTCGTTCTAGCATGTCCTCAGCGACTTTCATGCGATTTAGTTTTTGAAGAAAATGCAGGTCTTTTGGGACTAGCCGAGCGGCAACACGTTTCATACCCAAATTATTTGTTAAAATGGTACGGATCGACTCGTGAGATACAGAAAGTTCGGCGGCCATCTCTCTCAAACTTGAATGAGGATTTTCAGTCACTATTTCCTTCACTTTTGCGATGTTAACTTCAGTTGCAGACGTTGATGGCCTACCAGAACGAGGCAAATCTTCCATCACATCTCGACCGCTTTTGAACGCTTTGTACCACTCATAAGCACGTGTTTTTGATAAAGTCGATTCACCGTAAGCCTTCTGTAACATTTTGAGTGCCTCCGAACACGAAATTTCATTGGCGATGCAAAATTTAAGACAACTCTTTGTTCGATGTTTTTGTCCATTAGGAAATTCGCAATACACACTAGATATTATAAAACTAAAAACAGCACTGTTTTTAATATAAATAACAGATGCAACTCAAATTCCGCGCCAAAATGGAAAACAGTTATGCCAATCTAACAACAACAAAAAAATTAAAATTCGAATTTGGAACCATAAAAAAAAACATTCATTCCCGATACTTTGTTGACTGAATGTACATACTACTCGTGCGCGATAAGTTGAGACCTGCTAGGAATGCGACTCCCCGCCCGCTTCCCCTGCACTTCCCCGATGGCGCCCGTATTGTACCGTTCGCATCACTATTGTTTAGTCTCACAGAACAGATACAAAAGGTTTACCTATACCTTTTTTACCTGTTAGGTATACCTTTTTTAACTGGCCTACGTCACGTACCGACGCGCTCTGAAATATTTTTACTTTTCGTTTGTGTTATTTTTTTGTTGTTATAGTTCTTGTTAAGTGTTTTTGTTATCATTATGAAGGGTAAAACTGCATAGCGGAGAAAGAAACCTCGTGCTAAAAGTGTTAGAGTTTTTTGAAAACGAAAAACGGAACAAACAGTTTTGTTTACCTATTGACAACTCAATCCAATCGAATATATTTGGAATTTGGTCAAGCAAAGAGTAGCCGATAAAAATATCAACCAGTCTGAAAGGGAAATAGAAAAATTAACGAGAGATGCAATTACCAGCATAAGTGAGAGTGACTGGAAAAAAGAAGTCAACCATGTGGACAGGCTTCGACAAAAGTATTGGGATGATGACCTCCTACAAGAGACAAATGAATCGCAATTAATTGTAAATTTATCGAATACCTCTTCGTCAAGTGAATAAAGTGAGACTGAGGACGAAGAACAACAAATGTAAATAATAGATAAAACAAATGTATAAACTTAAACATTGTATTTTTATTCATTATAAAACCATAGTCAACACTTTCGGTGATACATAATTAAATACCTAGTGTCCTATTTTATATTCGAATAGTGTAAAAAAGATTAGATAAATGGCAGCGTCCTCCCTGAGTAACATAATAAATTAGGTTAAAAAAAACAAAGACGAAGCCGCGGGCGGCTGCTTGTTATGTTCGCTTTTTTGCGGGCGGTACAAACACGCCAATGTGACGTCACCGCGCTCAAGTCTCAACTTATCGCGCACGGGTAGTACTTCTTAATACATTGAAGTTTGTCTTTCTAAATTTAAAATTGCATTCGTTTGGTACGTGAGATTCATATTCAAACCGCGTTGAAGGTGAAATTTATTACGCATTTATGCCACTCGTGTTATAAATTGATTGATTCAAATGTGTTTTAATGGGAATTATACATGGTACCTAACTACTTGATTAAGATAAGCAAGACGTTTAAAATGAGAAAAGTTATTTTATTTTATAATTTTATGTTTTTTTTTTTTATTTTTAATTGTGTTCGATAATATTCTATAATTTTGTTCCCGTGCAAGTATTGAGCTAAATAAATAGCTTTTCTTCGTTTTTCTTCTCTCATTTAGAAATTGATATACAATATAGAGTTTAAAGGAAAATGGACAACTTATTTATGCTTTATTGTAGGTACACAATGACATGAAGTTGGTACAAAAGGCGGACTTTAAGTATGTCATATTATGGCATTCTCCACCTCACTTCAGTTATTTATGACTAAGTGAAGATATAAGTTTTATAGTTGCTTTAAGGTAAAGGAAGAAATCCATAATACATGGTTATTTAGGTTTAAATGCAATATTAACTCTTCTTCAGTTGAAGTGTACGTAGCGTGGCTATTGGTATTAAGTTTAGGAGAGCAAAGAGCCTTTGGCACGAATGGGTCGGCTCGACCGAAGTCATACCACGGCATCACAGAAAAACCGGCGTGAAACAACTACAGCGTTGTGTTTGTCGTGTGAGGTTACCGGAGTCCCTATTCCTTTCCAATCCTTAAATATCTGAAATTCCTATCCCCAAAAGGCCGGCAACGCTCTCGTAACTCGGATTTATCGAAGATTTTATCCTTCCCCTCATCTCAAAGTAAACCAATGATTACATCAGACTCTAAATAATAATGTGTCTCTTATATTATATACTTATCAATATTATTTACACATTGATAGCAGTTACGTAAACTGTAGTATACAATTTTAGCTTCATTATGTTCATAAGTCATTATTTATTTATTATACATTCAGTAATCTAGAGTGGAGAATATGTCTAGGCAAACATAGGGCACCCTATAGCTAGATGGACTGACAAAACCGCAGGATGACTGGCCGTGGTTGGCAAGTGAACATGGAGCTCATTGGCATGCAAATGCAGCAGTAGATGGAACACACTATAATTTCACATTTTTAATTTAATTTATAGTTTGTTAGTTTGTCACATCTTGACACTTGACATTCTTAAAATTGTATGGTAAAAAGAATGATTCCAAGATAAAGCTGTGAGTAAAAACTAGTTCATTAATTGTATAACGAACCTGTGCAGTTTGCAGAACCACCACATCATTCATGGCTTTGTAACCAGCCCCCATACGGCCACGGAGACCAGCTGTACCAAACTTGAGCCTCTGCAGCATTGAGCCCCGCAACTTGTCCCAGCGTCCATTTGATATGTCTTCAAATACTTCATTGCGGGTTGTTGGATTCTGGAAAAAAAATTGATTAAAATTAATGAATATTTTATGTGTGAGAGAAGCTAATAGGAAGGTCTTGACAGAGAATCAGGCAGTACCTATGCCATTAACCAGAGGTTTAATTATTCACAAAAAATGTATGAGCTCTAATATTTATTATTTAATTCATTAAACCCCAAGCGAAAGCTGGTGTTTTTACACTTATTGTCTTACAATAGAGTCCCAAATTACCACAATTAAAAGGTTAATGTTATAAAAAGTTTTTGAAAAAGTAAAGCAAAAATGTTTTTTACCTTCGGGAATGAAATTAATTAATCTTGAAGACTGAATGCTTAAATTAGACAGACGATTATATTTGCACAAGTGGAATGGACAGGGAGATTTTTAGTGTGCATTATGCAAAACAATTGCAAATCATTGATAATCTTGTAAATCAAAATGGTCATTTTTTGGCACATTGCAATGTTTTTACCAGGTCATGAATATGACAAGGTTTTTTTTTTATGTAATAAGTCGGCAAACAAGCAGACGGATTACCTGAATCAACGCCGCCCATGGACACCCGCAACGCAGGAGTTACGAGTGTGTTGCCGACCTTTTAGGGATTAGGAATTTGGAGATTTAGGGATTGGGGAAGGGTCCGGGAAGGGTAAGGATTGATTACTTGCACCATTATTTCAAAGATAATATAGAACCTTTTTTTTTCTAAAATAGTAGAATAAACTGAGAATAGAATAGTATAGCAAGATAAATTTTTTCTAAGAACAGTTTAATTTTTACTGAATATTTTAGTAACAAACATTTTACAGTGATTTATTATGGTCCTTACATTTTGTTATACATAAACTTTACAAGTGTAATGAAGTAGCGAATAACGAAATAAATTATTTTGTTGAAGAATTGCATCATTCAATTAGACTTCATAATAAATAAAAAATATTATTACTAGCACAAGTTAAATTATTAAAATATGACATGACCCGCGCAATGTTACCCTAATTGAGCCAATTAAGTATAGAGTTACAACCTCAAGGCCAGAAGTGCATCGGTCTTACGTGCCTTGCACCATAAATTTTCCCATTAAAAAAAAACTACAATAGTTAGTTACCTTGTCCAGTTTCAACCAATTGTTCACCGCGGCATCTAATTTCACATCTCCACTATCACAGACAGACATTTTATTCAAGATATTAATGGAATAACAGTGAAAACTATGATGTCCAGCTAAAATATGAACACTGGATCTAAAGAGAAATATAATGAACTTCACTCAAGTTATTCCAGGAATGTAATGACCGGTCAGTCGGTTTTACAAACCGCGCGTCGGCTTTCGGACTTCACACAGAATTTACTGATATTTTATTGAACAAACTACCGATACCGATTTTACAAACTTCGCGAATAATCACAATTGCAATTCTGTACAATTCAATGTCAAACAAATGCAAAGGAGTGTAGACCCTTCTGCTATAAATATAAGGTTTACTTTAGCGATAAACATGAAATTGTATATTTCCATACGTCAGCTGACATTAATGTCGTTCGGATACGTGTCTAAAATTATATCTCTGGACCAAATAAAATGGATTTATTTTGAATAATAATTTTTATTTTTATTCAGTGTCTTAATATGAAAATATGTTTCTCCTTCCACACAAATCTATTAAATTTAAATTTAAATTAAACTACTACCTACTAACTAACTACTAGAGCTTTTTGGGCGGGCAACCCTGGTGTAAACATCTTCACATTTTGGCTCCAGATTTTAAAAAATCTTTAAAAATCGTAATAAGTTTATTTTTGTTCATTTCTGAGACATTTGAAGTGTAATAAGTAAAATAATTAACGTTTAATGATTGTGACACAATATAACAGTGAAGTGTTGCAGAAAAGTGAATAATAAATATAGACGCTATCGAATTCAAACTTTCATAATGACGACAAAATTTTAATAGTGTGAATAAAACTACATTACATTATAAACCCCTGTGGTCTAAAATATCATAATTAAAACTATATGGTGAAGCAGTAAACAATAAAAACAATATTTGATCCAAACACAAAAACAGTAAACGTTATTTTTATTCAAAATTAAAAAAGTGAAGGTGAATGAACTTTTGCATCGTATTCAAAATTGCCACCCGTTATATCAAAACATTCTAGTAAAAACTGTACCTATATTTCAACACAAAAGTAAGTGTATTGCTGACGTAGTGGTTGTACGCATCGACTGCAAAGCAAGAGGTCGCGTGTTCGCAACCAGGTCAGGAAAAAGACTTTTTGTGAATTTTGGAGCTTATAAATATTAACTTAAAACAAAATAAAAAAACATGAGTAATATTAACATTACAATTCGAAAAAAAAACAATTACCGTTCTCTTTCGGTAGAATCCCTGGATAGCCTAGAGTCCAGTCGAAGTACGAAAAGTATGATAGATTTATCCACGCACCTAAGAAGTGAAGAATCTATAGAAGTACAAAACATGATTGATAACCTGAACGAGCAATTATTGAGTGCGCAGTTAGAAATACAGACCTTAAATGAAGAAAATAACTCGCTTAAGCAGAAACTTGATGATGAGAAACAACGAACCAAACAGTTTAAAAACATGTACATTTCAAGTCTCAGTTCAGCTAAGCATTCTTGTTTGTCATGTCACCCCAAAAGTAACAACAAACATATCAATCGAGTGAATCTCTCCGTTAGAAAATTGGACTTGGATCTTAACTTCCAAACACCAAAAGTAGCTGTTAAGAATTCTTGTATCGGAAACAAGAATCTTGAAAAACCATACATTGTAGATGAGCAATTGAAAATCACCAGCATTGACCCTACACCGAAGGGTACAATAGCACTTAGCCAAACAAAAACTATATCTGATACAGTGAAACAAGTTACGAATGTCCCAAAACCCAAGCAAGAAAGCGGAAGTATCATACTGTTGTCAGATAATCAAGGTGAAGGCATCGTTGAATTGTTAATACGTAACAAATCTAAATTTATTCTAAAGGATTATAAAATAACAGGGATGAGAAAACCTGGCGCCCCCGCTGAAGAAGTTCTATCAAGTTGTTACTCAATATCTAAAGAATTAACAACTAGTGACAGTGTTGTCATCATGGCCGGAAGTAATGACTCTAACCCGTTTAAATTTCTTATGGAAATGTCAATGGCGCTTAAAACTTTAAACAAGTGTAACGTATACATAGTAAACGTGCTCTACAATGCATCTCTAAATGAAGGTAAATTAAATTACAATCTTAAACTTCTAACTCAAAACTTTAAAAACATTTCTTTCATTGAAGCCCAAAACAACTTCAATATTGTTAATCAAATAATACACAAAGTTAATACAGATCAATATAACAAAAGATTTCTATCCTTCAACGAAAGAATTGTCAAACTAGCTCCAAATGTAAGAAAGTCAAAAAGATTTAATGGAATACTTTTAAACCTTCAAAGTCCACCCCACATAGGTAACCAAAAAATTCAACCACAAAAAGGCACAATCCCTTACTATTTTAAAGCTATTGATAAAACGAACAAACCTCTCTTGCAAACTCCCGATACCGATACCGCTAAGAATAATTTATTTCGTGACTAACGATGACAGTACGAATACTTTTACTATTCTCCACCAAAACATTGCTGGAGCATTAAATAAAATTCACGATTTAGAACTTGCTATTCAAGATATGTGTGAGACAGGAACAAACGTTGATGTAGTGTGTCTTAGTGAACATTTTATAAAAAAAGGTTACGATAATTATATGATCTTAAATAATTATCGAATGTGCGCTATTTACTCACGCCCAGATAAAAGTCGCGGCGGAACTTGTATACTTTGTAAAAATATATTTCAATGTACTGAACTTAAGGAAATTAAGGGCATGAGCTTAGATAAACATTTTGAAGTCTGTGGCACAGAAATAAAACAATTACGTCTAATTGTCCTTTGTGTGTATAGGACCCCAAATTCAAATTTAAATATTTTCTTTGAAAAATTCGATAACATGCTGCGTAAATTGGAACACAGAAAAAGCCGAATTGTGATAGCCGGTGATTTTAATATAAATTTCCTACAGAAAGATAAAAATTCTACTACTTTTGATGAACTGATCTCAAACTATGGAATGCAACGCCATATCCACACTCCCACTAGGCTAAATACTTGCATCGATAATATAGTAAGTAATATTCCGAGAGCAGTTGGCAACACACATAGTCTTTGCTTATCTGATCATAACACAGCTCAAGTCATAGAATTTAAATACCAAAAAAAGAGTACAACAAATTATTACTTCGTTGATAAGCATGATCTCAGCAAAGAAAACATGACAAAATTTGTAGACTATATTAGCAACTTATCCTTTTCCGAAGTCTATGACTTTCACCAAGCTAACGACGCTTTTGATAGTTTCCATGAATTATTTACATTGTTTTATAAACTATGCTTTCCGAATATTAAGGTTAAGGTTAAACATAAAACTTCTAAATTGAAATGGATCTCAAAAGGACTTAAGTTAAGTGCTAAAACAAAAAGGTTGTTAAGATACAGGTATTATCATAATAGAACAGATGAAAACAAACAAATATTTAAAAAATACTCTAATGTTCTAAAAAAATGTATAAATAATTTACAATCGTTGAATAATCAAAAACATATAAATAACTCCAACAATAAAGGCAAAGCTACATGGGATGTGGTAAAACGTACTACTGGCCATGAAACCTCAAGGGATTACATTGAAGGGCTTATTGACGATAGCAATGTCCTAAATACATCTGGTTCAGACATTGCTAACATATTTAATAACTTTTTTATAGATATTGTTGAAAAGAATATTAGTACTGAACAGAATGGTATATCTAATATTAACACAAGTAATCACAGCATTTTTCTTGAGCCATCTAATCCATTAGAAATTTATCATATAATCAAGTCCTTGAAAAATACGAAATCATCTGGCTATGACAATATCACAACAGATCTTATTAAACTTACAGCACAGTCCATTGCACATCCCTTATCTTACATCATTAACCTGTCGCTAGAACAAGGCTGTTTCCCAGATAAAATGAAGGTTTCAATAATCAAACCTTTACATAAAAAGAATTCCAAAACCGATAAAAATAATTATCGCCCTATCGCACTGATATCCATTATCTCTAAAATTTTTGAAAAGGTTATTTATAAGAGAACACTAAATTTTTTAAATAAAAATAATGTCCTCAGCAACGAACAGTTTGGTTTTCGAAAAGGTAAGTCCACTCAGCTGGCAGCATTTAGTCTAATTAATTCAATAATGGACAACATAAATATTAAAATATCTCCTATTGTACTCTTTCTAGATTTAAGTAAAGCCTTTGATGTTGTTGATCATACTAGACTCATAAACAAATTAGATAAATATGGCATAAGGGGAATAGCTTTAGATTGGTTCAAATCATACCTAAATGGTAGAACACAAATAACAAGAATAACTAAATTTAATAGTAAAACCAATTTTCTTGAGAGCCATGATTCCAGTCCCAGATTCAATTACTTTGGAGTTCCCCAGGGGAGTATTCTAGGTCCCCTACTATTTCTAATTTATGTAAATGATTTTCCTCAAGTAGTCCACAATCATGAATGCGTCCTATTTGCTGATGATACATCTGTAATATTAAGTTGCAAAGATGAAAAAAATTATATAGCCGAGATACATCAAACACTAAAAGAAATTACTAAATGGCTTGATATCAATGCATTAAAAATAAATTTAGACAAAACAAAAATTATTAAATTCAGATCTTATAAAAGCAAATGTAAGCAACTAGACATTATCTGTAATAACACACCCATCGAACAAGTCCATAACGTTAAGTTTTTAGGTATTACAGTAGATGAACATCTTACATGGAAAGATCATATCGATACCGTATGCAACAAAATTAATAAATCTGTCTTTGCTATAAAAAGAATTAAAGACTCTTGTTCAAGACACACATCGTTAATGGTTTACCATGCCTATGTATGCTCCGTTATACGATATGGGATTGTGGTTTGGGGATATACATCAGATTTAGCACGGGTATTTATTGCGCAGAAGAAATGTGTTCGCGCAATTTTTAATGTCAAATGGTCGGACTCTTGTAGACCTATTTTCACATCAGAAAAAATATTAACTGTCCCTAACATTTATATTTATGAAGTGGCTAAATTTGTAAAGTCCAATATTAAATTATTTAAAAATAAAAACAATACAAACAAGCGCAAAGTCACTCATTCGTATTTAAAAATGCCTGCTCCGCGACTTGAGATGTGTAGACGAAGTTGTGTGTACATGGCGCCTTTAATTTATAACTCACTGCCTCAGAACATAGTCGATCTGCCCT